CTCAGGATCAACCCTACCTCCTCTGCAGCCCTGCCTTCACCCACACTCACTGCCTGCCTGGAGGAGATACAGGCGTGGATGAAGCAAAACTTCCTGAAACTCAACAGCTCCAAGACCGAAGCCATTATAGTTGGCACCCCACACCAGGTTCGGTCATCCACCATCACCACCATCACCTTCTCCGGCCAGGACATTACCCTCTCCTCAATAGTCACCAACCTGGGTGTTAAAATGGACGCCCATCTGACCTTTGAGGCCCACATTAAACAGCTGTGCAAGAACTCCTTTTATCACCTCAGGAACATCGCCAAACTCCGCCCCACACTCACTCTGTCCGACGCCGAAAAGCTGGTCCACACCTTTGTCTCCTCCAGGCTGGACTACTGCAATGCACTCCTCATCGGGATCCCAAACAAAAGCATCCAGAAGCTCCAGTACATCCAGAACAGCGCTGCTAGGATCCTGATGAGGGTGCGCAAATATGACCACATCACCCCCATCCTTAAAGCACTACACTGGCTACCCGTGGAACTGAGGATCGAATTCAAGGTCTCCGTCCTCACCCACCAGTCCATGGAACTGCCCCTCCCTACCTCAAGGAACTCCTCACCACCCATACCTCCTTGCGGACCACCCGCTCCAGCAACTCCTACCTGCTCAAACCCCCCAGGACTAAGCTCCGTACTATGGGAGACCGGGCCTTCTGCTCGGCTGCCCCCAGTCTGTGGAACGCTCTCCCCGACCACATGAGAGCACCACAGACCGTGGAGGCTTTTAAAAAAGGCCTCAAAACCCATCTCTTCAAAAGAGCCTTTGCCTAGACCTTTTTTACCACCCTTTTATTTTTATTTTTATTTATTTTTTATTGCTTTTTATTAATTCTACCGTGTTGTGTCATGTCTATTTATACTGTTCATGCTCACTGCTTGTAGCACTTCGGATTTGAATTCGAATATGAAGTGCTTTATAAATGGAACCCATTATTATTATTATTATTATTATTATTGTAGTCTTTCATATTAAACATGATCGCTGGTAGATAGCCACAGAAGTCGTAACACAGTTTAACCTGGGCATATCCCATTTTTCCCTGGGCGGATCGCAGTTTACCTGAGCGGATCACAGTTTACCACAGCTGAAGACTTCTCCACGCTGCTTTCAAACTGTGAGTTAACAACGTACGCTTCACTTGGATGCTGTCTGAAGGTGTACACAGGTCTCAGATGGACTTGGTATCACATTAACAACGATATTCAGTGATAAGTCTGGCAACAATAGCTGGTTTAAATGATTTATTCGAGCTCGCAATGTATTGAACAGACATCCCCAGTCAACTCGTTTTTCTTATTGTAGTCCTCGCTGTTCGCGTCCGGATATCGCCATCGTAACCACAACCTCACACACTGGTATTGAATGTGCATCAAAGTCTTCCTACCGAGCCAAATATACCAAAAGATGTATGTAAACGACAGAAGAAGCGATCGAAATGTGTATTTCAGTCAAAGGCCACGCCCCCCACCTCTGTAAACCAGTTGATCGGAAAACCAGGTAATCCGGAACACCTGTCGCCTAGGGCGCCAGATCTGGAGGGGCGCTGCGCTGGGAGAATTTTTATTTATTTTTTTGCCTAATTTTCGAGAAGCCCCTCAATGCAGTGCGCAATGCCTCAATGAGTTCAATGTGGGCGGGAGCTCAACGTGGGCGGAGCTTCACAGATGACGTGTTGCATCCTGTTTCCCGGTAGCAGTTGTCTTCCCTCCCTTCAATCTAACCCTTCCCTTCCCCCCATCCTAACCCTAACCACTCCCTACCTTTTTACCTAATCCTAATCTTCCTTCCTCCCTCCCAAACCTAAACCCCAAAACCTCTCCTACTGTAAGAAATTAAAATCAATGTTGATATGACGTAATTTAAATTAAATACAGAGTTTTAATTTAAAGCAGTTTTATTCTGAAAAAAACGGAAGTTCACACTAACTATTAATTTAACACTTTTATTCTGAAAAGTCTTCATTTCCGGTTAGCATTAGCATGTGGCTAACGTTGTGAAAACCGTGAATTGAAGGTGAAATGACATGTGATGTTGTACACTAAACACACTGGGATTAACACTCATTTATTGACGCTGAAATAACGTTTATCAGGGAATATTTAAATAACGACAGACATCAGAATATAATATGTTACTTTTGTGACTGGGTAAGTACACAACACGGGAGTCGGGACGTCACGTGCCTCAAAGGTTGAGAAAGGTTGAGCTCCGCCTCCGCCCACGTTGAGCTCCCGCCCACGTTGAGACGTTGAGGCATTGCGCACTGCATTGAGGGGTACTTCTAATTTTCTGCCCTTGATATAATACATTTACATTAATAATTGAATAAAGTAAACACCCTTTGCACCCCGGGCCGGCAACATTTAGCATTTGCCCTGTATGACGTGCGCTGTAAGGGATGAAAGTGGGGGATGTTAACTTATCAGGCGCCCGCAGCTCACAGCCAAAGTGCGAGCGAGCCTCCGAGCGAGCAAGAGAGAGAGAGAGAGAGAGAGAGAGAGGGCGAGCATGCATCGGTACTGCGGATTGTTGTTGGATTGATGCTGATAACTACAGCTCAGTGAGATAGTTCACTTTAAGCCCCGGCCACACGAGGACGATAACGGTCGTATCTGCTACAGTTCACTATCAGATAGACGGTTCGGCCACACGAGGCCGACATGGAAACGCAGAAAACGATAACGATAATGGGTCCCAAGGTGGGTAGATCTGCAAACGAAACGCTCTGGGGGGGCAAACGGCTCTGTGTTTACGCCTATACGATCATTTCCTGATAACGTTGAAGCAATAGCCCCGCCTCTCCCCACCTCTCCTGCTCAGAGATCAGCTGCTGGGCTGTCAGAAGGGGGGGAGGAAAAGAGAGGCTCCGTTTTTTATTCTTATATTATTATATAGAGTCGTTATTCATTTGTTTTAAAGCTCAATAAATAACAAAGAAGACCTTTGACCGGCACTTTTCAAATTTTGTCCGGAAGATTTCAACTTTAACGGACATGTTGACCGGCGAAAAAAAATCGAACTGAAACTCTGCCGCATGGTCCCCTCGTCCCTTGGAAGAGGCGGAGAGGTGGGTGTTTTTCATCTGCTGGTGGCAAACCGGAGAGATTTACAGCAGGAGCAAACGCTTGCCTCAGGGAGGGAGAAAAAGAGCCAGAGCGTCCACAGCGGAGAATAAACAGAAGGGCAACCATGGCAACCATGCGCGGAAGTCTTCTTCGCTGCTTTTGTGGCAGGACTACAGCGCCACTTACAGGCCTGGCATATGTACTACAGCGTCTCCAGCGCTTTCGAGCGGTCTTGTTTGAACGGACACGTTTCTGGTGCCTGTTGCGTGTGGACGGAATACTTTTTTGATAACGATTGCGGTCCGTTTGCGTTATCGTCCTTGTGTGGCTGGGGCCTTAGTCTAATGGCGCATTTCCACTACAGCACGGTTTAAGCGTGCCGTGCCGTGCACGGCCCGTTTTTGGTTGCGTTTCCACTTGGCGTAGTACTGGCTAGCGGGTACTATTTCACAGTTTTTCTGGCACCATAAAATCGAGGTTCTTAGCGGGCCAACAACCAGGCTGAGTCGGGCTGAGTATGCTAAGAGAGAATCGCTGGCAAGGGGGCTACAACTACAACAAAATAAACATATTTGACCGTGATTTAATTGTAATACACGTTTCAAAATGATGCCGAAGTAACAACATACTGATACCGGTTAGTAAAAACCATGAATTAATGCTTTGACAAGTCTGCAGACAAGACGGCAGGCGAAAAACCTTTTAAAATGCGTGTTTTCTAAATGGAGATCAGCTAAGCTAACGCAGTATATGCTCCGACCGTCCACACTCACAAAAACGGCCTATACAGACATAAATAAACCAGCGACTGTATTCGCCATGACACAGACAGTCTGTGGTTTGTACTTGTTTAACTTTTGTCTAGTTTCTGAACAGATATGAGGAGCTGTGAGCTTGAGTGCTAACAGCTAACGGCTGATGTTGTTTTTCTGTGGTTCGCATTGAAGATGACGTCACGGCTCCGCCTACACTGCGTTACTATAGTTACTGCCCCAGCTACTAAACTGTAATAGAGAGGCGAAGTCCCGCCCATCTACTTCCGACCCATGGGACCTTATTTCGGAAAAGTTATGTATTGAAGTCAATGGGGAGAGAAAGATTATCTTTCGATCCCGTTTGAATTGTGCCACAAATTACACATATGATGTTTGTCAATCTTAAAAAATAATTTCCATGTAAAAAAAGTCACAGTTTGTCGTAAAACTGTTGAAATATAAGACTATGAAAAATACGCAACTAAAGACTACAAATCCCAGAATCCCGGTCCTGCATGCTGGCTCTTACGGAACCGACTAACTCCCTTTTTGTGTATGTACAGCTCTCAACATGCCCAGACTTGTAGTGATTTCCACCTCGTTTAATACTTTTCACCTCATTCTGAAAGAAAGAAGTGAAATGTGCCAACGTGACGGCCGTCCTGGTGTGTGGTGCGAGACGGGAGATGTAGTTCATTGAGCGGTTTCACACAAAAAACTAACAAGGCCTAACTATACCGTACTAAGCCGAGCGAGGCCCTGCAATGGAAATGCGCCATAAGTTATCTCAGTGGGTCTCAAACGGTTTGGTCACAATTTATGTAAACAAATATATCAAATATATATATATATATATATATATATATATATATTTGTAAACCAAATCATAATCTCGCCTAGGGCACCAAAATGTCTAGGGCCGGCCCTGGCTCCTGTGTTAACCAGGTAATAATACAATATTGAAAAAAAGACTACATTGACACTTTGCTAAGAGCATCTTAATCCTGCAATTAAGGAATTATGTTTTCTCTCTTTCTGCTTTCACAAGTTTACCCTATCATCATCAAAAAACACCAATGAATAGTATATTAAAAAAGTTATAATTTTCCATTCTCTGCTTTATTTTTAGGACCAGCTGAAAAAAACAGTAATCAACCATGGAGAAGATATTTTAAATGTTTTGAATTGATAGAAAAAGGAAAGCTGGATGTTAGTGATGACCCTCTTCATCCAGAAATGCTCCAAAAACTAGAAGCATGTGCATTTCTAGAGCAGTCACAAGGTAAGCCTGGCGGTGATGGAAGTGCCCTTAAAGAAATTGGGCCACTCTATATTGTTGAAAATGTCACTCACAAAAATCATTGCCCTTATATTTGTACACTCAAGTGCGCTCTGTTGTCGTTACAGAAGCAACATTAGACATCGACCCATCACTGAATCAAGTAGCCTCTGCACAGAACCAGTCCTTTAAAGGAGGAAAAGGCGTGCCACACAGAGACAAAAAGGATTAAACTTTGCTCCTCTGCAGAAGGTTCAACTCCAGGAGTCAATCAGGAGGATGATGCTGCTCTGCTGCTAAAAAGGTATCTGTATGAAACGCCCAGTACCCCAGTTGTCCCAAACACCTTGCTAGCCACTCCTCACATCCTACACCCCCCAGACCACTATAGGAGCAGTCCAGCTGCCTCTCTTGCTCTCACAGCATGCCTTCACAGAGTAAAATAACATCAGCAAAGCCCTTAACCCGAGCTCAACGTTTACCTGCTCTGCTGCTAAAAAGCATCTATGAGGAGTTTACACCTGAGATCACTGCTGATGAAGAGGAGGAGACCTACAGGTTCCAGAGCTCCTGCCCCGGCCTGTACCAGTGCAGGCTGACCGGCCTGGTGTTTCACATGGAGGGAGAGGGGGAGCTGCTTTACAGGATCGTCCCTTGGAACACGAGGCTTCTGGCCCAGCATCACAAGAAGCCTGCCGGACCCCTGTTTGACATCAAATGTGTGCCACAGTCAGTGTGTCAGCTGCACCTCCCTCACTGTGAGATCCGCTACACAGCAGCCTGTCGCTTCTTGTCCGTTGCTCATGTGAAAGATGAGAGCATTGAGGTTATCCGCCCTCACAAGGTAACAGAAACTCATGTTATTATAAATATCACAGGGTTTTCTTGTTTAGGGAACGTTAAGGATAAAGACTCGCCACCTGAGCCGGTCCGAGCGCAGGTTCTGCTGTTCTACAGGCGCCCAGCTGATCCTGATCCCACATCCATCTTAAATGTGCTGTTGCTACCCAGTAACGTCTTGATCAAGGATGTGCAGCACAAAAGGAAGATGGTAGTTGGAGAAGAGACCTACATAGAAATCCCCCCCCACTGTAAACTGCACCCACAGCAGGAGTACACTCTCTCCACTCGTCCAGAGGACGACTCAGTTCGAGTTCAACCACCAGAGGCAGAGTTTTACTGTGACGACTATGACAACTACCACCCATCATTCCAGGTGACTTTGGAAACAAGGATGAAACATATTGAGCTGGATTTGAGAAATTCCAAAGCCTCCCTCAGTGTCTGGGAAAGACGAGTGTGTCTCTCCTCTGGAGTGAAAAGGTCCTGTGAGCAGAGCTCTCTGGAACTTTCTGCTCATGAGAGGCTACGGGACATATGGAGCGACTTCATCGAGAGGACATCAAAACCTCTCCTCAGAAGTCTTGTGGACAAACTGTTTGAGAAAAAGGTGCTGTCTGAATCTGAGAGGGAGAGCGCGGAAGAGAAGCAAAACAGAAGCGACAAAGCTAGTTTTGTGATTGACACAGTGATGAAGAAAGGACACAAAGCTAGTTCAGAAATGATTAAGTTTCTTTGTGACGCTGACCCCTATCTCTGCGAACAGCTTGGGTTGATCTGAAGCTGAGAGGTGGTGATGAAGAGTTTTGTGGAGTCTGATAAGAACGATTACATTTACGATGGAAAGAGAGTGCTTTTAGTGAGGAAAAAAAAAAAGGTTGAGCTGCTAGTTCAGAGATGATTGAGTTTCTCTGTGGGGCTGACCCCTTCCTCTGTGAACATCTTGGGTTGATGTTAAACTAAACGAACGGCTGATGCATGCAGGTCATCCTGTAACTGCCTCTGTGTTTACTTTATAACATTTTTAGAAATCTTTGACCAAGTATGTAAAATATGGTTGTTTTTTTGTTGATGTTTTACTGTCAACATTAATTTATATTCTTGCCGTTCAAATATATTCAAACATAGAGAAACATATGAGAGGATTTTGTTCTTCCAAATGTATCTGAGTGATTATTTTTTCTGATTAACTTCTTATGACGCTTGTCCCTTTATTCTTTACCGATCACTGACCCTCTATATGTTTTGATTCTACCTTTAATCTTATTCGATTTTACATCTTTAGAACTTAGTTTAAAAACCCCACAAATTAAACAAACAATAAGGATGCAATAGGTAACATTTCTGCTCTAAAGTAGCCTGTTTTTTTACTTTGTCAATAGTGTCTGTAACACTATAATTTTACAGTCAATTATTGCTGAACAAAACTGTTCAGCTTTGTTTTAAATAAATATAATTTAAAGGCACTTAATCTCTTTAAAGGGGGATCAATAAAGCCTTATTTTATTTTACCTTTAAAATATATTACATTTGTCTCAAAACCTCTTTAATATATGTTGTCCCGTCATACGCCAGCAGGGGGGGGGGCATTTGCTTAATAATGGAGAGGTCAAGTCCATGACTCCCAGTGAAACATGAAGGGAGGATGCTGTTTAAAAATACTTCACTGACACAGAAGCCCATTAAGAGGTGCTATCACAAAGAAAACTAAAATATTATTTTTAATAAAAAGGTGTAGAGATATCACAAACTAGTGTTGAACTACTAAAGAATATATTTGATGTGATAACTGCTCTGCCTGATGTCCTTGGTATATTGTGAGTGTGAGAGAGAGCATGCTTTAATGTTCATCACAGATACATTGGTATTAGTGTATAATGAATGTTGGTCACTTTGATTAAAGAAAGGCAATGAAGACAAGTCTATTTGTGTTGTGTCAAATGTCTTGCTCTTTTTATTAGCTATCCTATTGTTATGTTTCAATCTCAGATATGTTGTTTTAAGAAAAATGTACTAATTTGCAATAAAACATATTGATAATTAACAGGTTTACTATTGGCCAGGTGAGGCCATCAAGTTGGTATTTGTTTTAATGTTGGAGTTTACATAAAGATTAAGGCTACCCTGATAACAAAAGTACAATATTCTTAGAATTGAATTTAAGAGAGTGCTAGCACATTTGGCCTTAGAAACTACATCTAATACCAACAACCTGCCCTGCTCTAACTTTAGCGGTAAATCACACGTCATATAACCGATTTACCAGCATCAGAAATGTTTTTAAATCTATTTGAAATGGTTTAACAAAGTTTTATAAGGCTATTTCGTGTCCCCAAAGTTGTCTACTTTCTATGAGGGTCTTACCCCCGGCCTGCACTTAAACTAATCTGGTTTAAATGCTAGAGCATTTTTTATGAGAAATTGAATGAAGTTTGCGAACTACATAAATATAGCTAAACACTTTTTTTGTTGCGAAAACACCATTTCATAGTTGGTAGAAATCAGTGATGGTTGGTTTTTAATCTTTCAGTTAAATAATGTGAAAATTAATTTCTAGCATCAGAAATTTGATATTTAAAAAAAGGCATATTCTTTATATTTAAATTACATTTTAAAGTTAGTTTCTTTTATTGACCCTTCAGGTGTCTTTAATACAACTTCAGCTATTAATAGATTATTTAATCATCTGCACTACATTTTTTTGTCAACTATTTGATCAATCAAATAATCAATGAATCTGGAACTTCAATGTTTGAAAATAATGCTTAATATATCGTTAATGGTTTACAGATTATAAAAAATGTGTGGATTATTTTTCTGTCAATCACCTATTTGATTTATCAAATAATTAAAGCTCTATTATTATTATTATTTTTTTAAATGTCATTACTATATTGAAACTGGAAGCGAAAAAATACATAAATGAATACATTATTTGAACAATGTGATTGTTGATCAACTATTTGATATTTCATCAAGCTAATAATGCAGCCCTTGTTGTATTAATTATTATTTTTGTTGTTGATTTTGTATTTAGTTAATTTTACTTTAATTTTGAAGGGAACTTGAACCCACTTCCTGTTTTCTCCGCGCTAACTTCCGCTAGCTTGTTGCCGATGTACTCGCTCAGTCCCAGCGCAGCATCCAGCCTCCACACCGGACTCTGAGCCGCAGAGTGACGGAGCACAGTCGCCGTTTCCCGGGTACATTTTCCAGTTTGTTCCGCTTGGTTTACTGTGACGCAGCTTCAAGAGCGGCTCCGTGCGGACAGTTGGGGCTATCTTTCTGGACAACATTAACTACATCTCTGTTATATTCAGTGGAATTTATCCTTTTTGGAGCACAGAGGAGGTGTGGAGGATGAACCCCCAGTGTGCCCGCTGCGGGAAGATCGTCTACCCGACGGAGAAAGTCAGCTGCCTGGACAAGGTGAGCACTTTTTGTCGATTAAGAAAAAAAACATCCAGAAACATGAATGTGTATTGATTCTCATTGGTGGAATAGAAGTATGTTCACTTAAGTATTGTATTTATGTAACTTGTTTGCATTTTCTACTACTTTATACTTGCCTACATTTCAGGGGTAAATATTGTGCTTTTCTTTTTTTATAGCATTGATCATGACTGTCAGCATTAGCTAATGCAGATTCAGATTAACTTAACTTCAATTCTGTATATTTATATTGTTTTTATAACGATAATACTTTTTTAATCCATGTATGCAATTGACAAGCTGTTATAATAGCCTACATATACCTAGCAGCTACAACAAACTGATCATATTAATATATCAATAATGACAATTCAATAATGACATTCTGCATTATGAGTACTTTTACTTTTGCTACTTTTTATGCCAATACTTGTTTTACTTGTACAACAATTGAGTATTTCAAGTGGTGTAATGTCATAAAGTACAATTATTGGTTCTTCAATTAAGTATTAATTAAGCAGGTCACCCTTGAAAAAGAGATCAATGATCTCAATGGGATTCACCTGCATAAATAAAGGTTTGAAATTAAATGAAATTTGCACATTATGCTACCTTATACTTTTACCCCACTACAGGCAAATATTGTAATTCGCTACATTGAATAGACTGTAATAATTACTTTGCAGATTGAGGTTATTCATACCAAATGTAAACTAACTAATCCATTATGATATTATTAATATTATTCATTGTTATAGATTAAACTTCAATACTATCAATACTTTTACTCGAGTAAAGTAAGTACATTACAATGACAAGTACAATATTCCAAGTTATTTATTTCAGTTATTTATTTATGGTAATATGATTTATAGGTTTACAAAGAAAACTTTCAAATCATGTTAGTATAAATCTAAGACAGGAAACAATGAAGAAATTCAGGTAGAGGACCCAAATAGAACATCATTTAATAATAAGTAGTCATAATAATGACATTATATCATGAATAGCTGCCATAATAGGTCAATTGTAGGACCGTCTTGTTAAACATGATTGTCTTTTTATGCCAGTATACAAAAGTAAGTGTTTTTTGTGTTTGCATGGAAACACCTCTGCAAAAGTATGTTGCATAATGGTGATAAATTGTTAATTTATCCTCATGCATTCACCGTCTGTCCTATGAGGCATTCGATGACACACCAGCATGTAGGCAGCTCTGCACATCTTATTAGCTCACTCCTTTCACAATAAAAGACTCCCATTACACAGAGCTGGAGCAAATACTGCATCATTTATTGTGTGAACAGAACATCTCATTTAATATCTTTCAAATCAGGAGGGTCCAAGACTGAATGGACCGTGTGCCATGTCTTGTAAAGTTGTTAGACAAGAGAGAAAATAAGGAAATACCAAACAGTGTGAGAGGAGTGATTCAGAGTGGAGGAGGCTAGCAAAGAAACAATCAAGTATATGGAGAGTTCGTGGGCGGTACAAAGACAGAGCTTATTTTGCTTTGCAAGGACTTCAGAGTTTCTTAGTGTCTTACAAAAACATTTGATCTGTCTCTTTGCCAAACCACGTGTCACTATTTTTTATTGTCAATTTTCTTTTCAAGTGTTTTTTCTTTAAAGTTGTCCCAAATATACTAAAAGAAAGATCTGATTAGATGTTTGGGGTCAAAAGTCACTGTGACCTCTGAAAACACATCTTTGGCCATAACTCATGATTTCATATGCTAGTTATGACAATTTCACCCAGTTGTCTTTAGAGAAGAAAGATGACGTTTGCTACAGGTATGCAACTGGGAGGTGTTATTCTACTTTTCTAATTTAAATCTTTAAATGAGATGTAAAACTCAAAATGTAATTCTTATTACCTGTAATGGTTTGAATGCTAACGCAGGAGAGATGGAGGGTGATTTGAACTGGATATTAAAGGAGCAAATGTTTGGCAGTAGACTGACTCACTTCACTGTCACAATTTCACCCAGCCTCCTGCTGTATTTATATTTAAACTGCATCAACAGGAAGTGCAGTGCAGACAGTCCCGCCCATGCTGTTTGATTGACAGAAGAGACAAATCAGTACAGCTGAGAAGTTTCTTTCCCGTCCTTAGACACAAACAATTAGCTTAATATTGTCTCCAAAGCAGCGTTCAAATTGAACGTTTTTTCCCACTGATAGGTCAGTTTGTCTTTGCTAATTAAATGTTGGATTCATGTTAGTGTAATGTGTGTTTAATGAAATGTTCTCTTTCAAAACAAGACACATGAGCCAGAGATTTTAGGCGGAGGCTTTAAATAAACCCACTGGGTTTTCTGCCTCCTCCTGCACTGTATATCATTTGTTATCTGTTCTATTTGTGTTTTTTGAATTGCAAAACAGAGACAGAGCAAAGTAAAATAAGATCAAGATGGTGTCTTGTGACTCCTGAAAAGAGATTCAGGGGTTACCTTCTGCACCCAAATACAAATACATGTATTTAAATGACCTAAATTCAATATATAGGTCATGTGACAACAACCGGACTTCATCTGCTGAGGACAGATGTGGTCATTCGTTTTCAGGAACACTAAATATGCAGACCTTAACATGAGTTTATTTTTGTCAAAAGCCTGAAACATGAGAGTGACTCTTAAGCTTAAAATGACTTAGCAAATATAATAATAATATTTGATCTGTGTGTGTGTGTTGTCTCCAGAACTGGCATAAAGGATGTTTCAGCTGCGAGGTTTGTAAGATGACGCTGAACATGAAGAACTACAAAGGCTACGACAAGAAACCCTACTGCAACGCGTGAGTCCTCATCTCCCATCCTTCTCTCTCTCTATATCTTTATAATAGATAATAATAATACATTTCATTTGAATGGTGCTCAATGTCACCTAACATGACTTAAAATGAAGCAATAAAACATACACAAAATGACCACTAGAGTCAATAATAACACATACTATAGGCAGAGAAGCACCATTAACAAACAGGAATGATATCAACAGTAACATATATGGCTAAACAATGAGGCTACATTTGTACAAATAAGAAGGAAGTATATAAAAATAACAACTTCCTAATGTGAAAAGAATAAGGAAACGTATCACAAAAATACAATACAAAAATATACACAAAAGTAAGTACAATTAGAATATGACATTAAAATAAAAATATGTACAGTATATTAGATTATTCTGAAAATGTACTTGTAGAATATCCGCTTTTCCACAAACACATATGATGCCCTCATGATCATCTCTATACTGAACCACCAATTAGCGTACTGTTTGCTGTCTATACTGCAATTAAAGTGTTATTATTGATATATGTATGATCTTCCACAGAGTATAAGCAGCATCCTGTTGCTGCACTGTGTTATTATCTGCCTCTGTGCCCTGCATATCTGCGTGTTGCTCCTTTAATGTTTTTATAGCAGCGATGGTTTTGGTGGCTGGAGGTTTTTCTTCGTGGTTTTGGTTTTGAGCCCGGCCCTGA